CTCTCCTCTCCTCTCCTCTCCTCTCCTCTCCTCTCCTCTCCTCTCCTCTCCTCTCTTTTTCTTCTCTTCTTTTCTTCTCTTCTTTTCTCTTCTCTTCTCTTCTCTTTCTTTTCTTTTCTTCTTCAGATTGTTTTTTGAAAATACAGTGTTTCAACACAGTCATCGTTATCACATAATAGGAATTATATCTTAACTTTCTTATATTTCTTCTAAGATTTTAAAGTGTAGTAAGAAAGTACTGTTTATGCTTAAATTTAAAAGCATCTAAAGTAAATATTGAGTCACAAAAAATGAAAGGATTATATTTCCGCAAATATTTTAGATTTATAGATGTGGAGGCTAGTTCTGTAGCAAACCACTAGTCCTTTGGAATGAAAATATATTTTAAGATATGACCAAGAATACTGAGAAGAATGCAAATAAAAGTCTGTTTAACATAGAAATTAGAGCAAAAGGAGAACTGCCTTTCTTGTGCTTTGTGTATGGTTGCAGCAGCAGGAAAGGAGTTGTATTTATCTATATAGACATCTAGTATTTCTGTGATGATTTATTATATGACTAAATCAACATTTTAAATGAAACTTGGAAATGTGCTTTGAATAATATTGTTTAGTGAAAGTAGCATAGACATGAAATTAGCAAAGAACTGAGCTAGGATTTGTGGAACAAGGTTTGCTAAATAAACTGCTGATTTGCTGAGATGAAGATGGATATCTTTAGGATTATGTAGATATTCAGAATAATTAGTTGGTCAGTGAACTGCCAAGATTCAGGTTTATCCATCTCTCTAGCAGGTTGTTTTACAAATCTAAGATATCCAATGAAAGGAAAATATTCTTTGGGCAGACAGATGTTACTTATAGTTGATAACAGTCAAACTATGGCTCTCAATTTACACATTTTTTAAATGTGACAAAGCATGGTTCTTACAGTTCAAAACATGATTGAATTAGGAAGTCTGGTTCCAGTAAAGTGTGATGGTATTGGTGAAGCTTTAAATGTAACTTAGGATCTGACAGTTTCCTAAGGTGCAAAGCAGAGATAATATGTAAGTGAAGATGCAAATTCCGCTTTTCACAATTTGCATTTCATACTTGGAGGAGAAAAATTAATAAGAGCAATCCCCAGTTAGAAATTTCGCTTATTGATGCATTACCCAAATCTCTCCGGGGACTGCACATGAATAATAACACTATTAGCTATACAGAATATGCATTCAATATCGAGGCTTAAGTGTATGGCCTATCAGCCTGAATCCTGTACATAACTGGATGTTTCTGTAATAATTTCATTTTAAAAGTATTGGAACCTATTTGGGAGAAGATAGTACCTAATGAAGATGACACATTTTTTTTAATATAATTTTATAAATTAAGCATAATCATTGAATACAGAATACTTTGTGTGGTCCCAGAGTACAGTGGAACAACCAGTGCTGGAGTCTCTATAACTAAAACAAAAGTAAACCAGGAAAAATCTTCCTTTTCTAGTACAGTTTGCAACGATTACTTTGTTTCCACATGTAAAAATATTTTTTTTGCTT